ATATTCGATCAGAATTAGACAATTAAGGCAGGAGGAATTGACGTTGCGCCGGAGGAGATCACGTTAGGATATTGGATGGCAGAAGGCTTCGGACGTCGGGCATCGGGCCAAGAGCGGAATTGCGCCAAGGATATCGGCGTTGCAGAGGTCAACCGTTGATTGGGCAACAAGCCGCAAGAGAGGACGATGCGCCGAAGAATCGGACGAAGCGCCAACCAATGACGTGCCGGGCAACAGAATGTCAATTCGCTTTATAATAATTGTCTAGATCGGAGTAGAGTTTTTGCTTGTGTGTGCAGGATTAACTACGATAACGACGAAGACATAAAGCAAAACAAAGTGTCAAAGTCAAGCACGAAGGATTCATTGCGAGTTCGAGAGTTCGACGGAAGTCCGAAGGTTCGTCGGGAATGCTGCCGGAACTAGCCAAGAATGAGTAGGGAGCTTGCCGAAGGGTTTTTCGGAAGCTCGCCAGAAGGTTCGTTGGAAGTTCGCGGAGCTCGCCGAGAAAGATTGGAGCTTGCCGAAGAAGCTCATCGAAACTCACCAAGATCAAATCGTGAAGTCTAGGAGCTTGCCGGGAGTCCGCAGAATGGTTTCCGAGAGTTTATCGGAAGACCGCCGGAAGTTCGCCGGAAGCTCGCCGGAAGAAGTATTGACTTACGAACTTTGTAATAGCTTAGAAAATGTCTTTAAATTCGTAGTTAGCATGTTAATTAGGGTTAGAATTAGGTGTTAATCCTATAATCCAAGTAGGGGCCAATTGGGCTCGAGTTCGAACTGGTTTGGGCCAAGTTTGGAGCCCAACCAGTGAGCTGATTTGGCCTAGGCGGTGGCACCGCCTAGGCTGGGCGGTGACACCTCCTGGGCTGGGCGGTGGCACCGCTTGGCTGGGCGGTGGCACCGCCAGCATCGGGAACATAAGAGAATTCAAATTTTTGGAGCCCAAATTTGAATCCTCTTGAGGCTTATAAATACCCCTCATTTCTCAGCAGAGAACATAACCTTTTGAGAAGCTAGAAGTTGAGAAAAGCTTTAGGAAAAGTCTTGTTTTCAATAGCTTGAGTGTTCACCTCCTTTCTTTTCATTGAAATCTTTGTAAAAGGGTGAACCACTTGTAAGAGGTTGTAAGAGGGGTGTAAGAAGGAGGTTGATCTTCGCCTAGTAAAGGAAGATCATTAGTGGATGCCGGTGCCCTCGACGGAAGAGGAATCAGAGGAGTGGATGTAGGTCACGATTGACCGAACCACTATAAACTACCATCTTCTCTGGTTTGCATTTTATTCTTGCTATTTACATTACTGCAAACCCTCTTACTTGCTTTATTTCCTCATTATATTTACTGTACAACTTTGCTAATACGCTTTCAAGTTAAGCACTTCCGATTCCGATTTTTATCGTACGAAAGATTTGTCAAAACCGACGTTTTAATCCGCTGCACTAATTCACCCCCCCTCTTAGTGCCGCTCCGATCCTAACAGTTTCAAACTCGGAAAACTTCTCTTTTAGCACTTTAGTCACAAGGTGTCTGTGACACATCACAACCCGTTGATTAAGTAAATACGATCTTCACTTCTTGATAGTATAAGCAATAGGTCAGTCTTTTGGTGTAGTAGTCATTGCAGTCTTCTGAAGAATCCTCTCCATCTGATGGCTAGCGTTAGTTGTAACCTTACTTCCACGTCTTCTCTTTAGGATCACATGCTTTCCATTAATAAAAAACTTCATGATTAGTTTAGAAAAATTTCAAGAAATATCACCTAGGGTTGATAATCATTCAATTTCAAGCATCACTTCAAAGTCTTCCAAGAGTAGCAAAAAAAAGTCCACAAGCAACTCTTGGCACTGTATAATCAATTTTATCTTTGAACATTTGCTATTACAAGTTCAAATCCATCCATCATCGACTTTTACTGCGAATTTGTTATAGCCTTTAATGTGGTAGGTCAATCAGTCAGCAAACATATTATCTATAAAATTGTTAGTGCTACTAGTATTAATCAAAACTATAACATGCTAATGTTCCAAAGTTCCTCCAACTTTCATAATTTGCGGGTTAGAGTAGTTGGCTAATGCATGCACTATATGTATGATAGGTCCAACATCTTCATCAAAATCTATACCTTCATGATCGGAGTCCACATTATTAGCTTTCGGTTCCTCCTCAATTGATTCAATCATTAGAAGTGCCCTTGTTTACATCAATACTCCCTACTCCACTTTTCATCACAGTGCCAAATCTTTCGTTGATCTTTCCTTGAGTTCTTCTCGAGTTAGTCTATGGTGTTAGGGTTTCGATTGAGAATAGATGGGGCTGATGGCTTACTGACCATTTGTTTGTTGTCACTTCTGTTTTAATGATTTTTCCTACTAATTTTTTCCTCATGCAAATGAGATTACAGCTGTCATAGTGCGGGGTTGGCGAGCTTTGTCTTCACATCGGATATTTAGATTAAGTCCTTCAATAAATACTCCCACTAGTTGTCGTTCGGACCAGTCTCTTGCTTGATTAGACAATCGTTCAAATATGCTATTATATTCTAGCATTATAGAAATCTGACAAATTTTAGCGAGCTGTCCATCAATATTCTCATATTCAGATGATCCAAAGCGAACGAGAAGCCCTCTCTTGAATTGCTCTCATGAGGGGACCCCGTGACAAGTTTCGTACCAATCATATCATTGGATTGCATCTTCATCTAGTTGGATCGAAGTTATTTCTACTTTGGAATCTTCTGGAGTTCTATGAAAATGGAAAAAAATTTATGCCCTAAAGATCCAACTAGTCAGATCTCCATCTTCCCATCTTGAAAATTCTACATTCATGTGTGGATAACTTGTGTCTTGTTCTTAGTTTCTTTTGCTTGTCTCTAGATCGATTCAATATAAGACTTAAATTTTCATCTTATTGAAACTTGCTAAAGCTCTTCAATAGGCTTTTTTTGAAATCGTTAAGGTTTTTTTACAACCGGTTCTCAATTCTGATTTTCAATGGTTCAATTTGGGCTTTCATTGAGTTATCGATAGCCATTATGTAAGACTATAAATCTGTAATCCTTAGTTCTTATTTTTTATGTCTGGTCAAGGGCATTAGCACTGTCCTATTCAGTGTAGCTTTTGGTGATATCGAAGCAAGGCAACAATCGACATGTAGCTTGGATGTGAAGCTACCGAGAAAGCGGATGCTAAGGGCAGCGTAAAGGCTTGTTGCGGTCGTTGCGTGGAGGGAAGGTTGTTGCCCTGTTTCTATCGATGCGTGGGGTGAGAGCATTGGGGGCTGGAAGGTGGTGGTGTTGGCGTGGGGAGCGACTACGGGCGGCTACGTGTGTGGCTGCAGTTGCTGTGACCCAAGGGGAGCGATCACCGAGCAACCGGGGTTGAGGCTATGATGGTGCGATTGGGAGTAACCGCCGAAGCTGCTATCAAGGCTGCGAGGCCAGTAACAACCGAGGCAGTGCTGAGGGTATGGCTAGGAGGCGGCAATGACAAGGGTCAAGAGGCAGCGATGGTGGCAATCGGTTGTGGTCGAAGCTGCTGTTAAGGCTGCGAGGCTGGCAACAACCGAGGCAGTGCTGAGGTTATGGCTAGGAGGCGACATTGACAAGGGTCAAGAGGCAAAGATGGTGGCAATCGGTTGTGGCAGAAGATGCAAAGGGTGCTCTGTTTCTATTGCACCATAGAAGGAGACGCTAGTGACGCCAAAGGATCGCGAGCGGTTGAGGACAAAGCTACAGTGGCTGAGGCAATGTTGAGGGCATGGTTGGGACGAGGTGTTGACAAGGTTCGAGAGGTAGTGGTGGTGGTCATTGGCTGGGAAGCAACGGCCCTTTCCCGCTGTGAGGAGGTTGGGCATGACTGCTGGCTTTATCTCTTTCTTTCTTTTTCTTTTTTTTTTAGATGATGATAGATGCGACGAGATGTTGTGAGAAATTGCAATGAGAACGATGAGGATCACTGCTCTTATATCAAATGATAAGACCCCTAGGGTTTTATCGTAGAAGAAGAGAGAGAAAAGAGATGATCACTTCGAGTGAATCGACCTCCTAGAGTTTATTAAAAGACTAGAATAATATTTCTTAAAAAAATAGATACATCCCTATTTATAAAGTTCCACCAAAAGTTCACCAAGACTTAGACTCTTAATAAATAAATATCAAATAAACTCCTATCTAATTTTTACTAAATTAGACAAACTCAATAAAATATTATTTAAAACTCAAAAAATAAAGAGATCCTCAACCATATATGGTACAACTAGTACAAACATTTCCATAGATGATCAAGGACTCACATTACATCATAAACCGGTATGGATTTTTTTGATTCTTTGTATCAGATTATTTTCCTTGCATCTTAAAGAACAAGATTTTGCATATTGAGTGTTACAAGAAATTTCATAGAAAAAAAAAAAAAAAGAAAGGCTGAATACAATGCAGTGAAAGGAAACCGATTTTTGCTTTTAGTCAACTCAATGCCAACAAGAACAGAAATTGACCGACTGTTAACATGCCTGGAAGGAAGGTCTTGGTATTATTTGTGCACTTCTTCACCGGGATGCTTTTGCCGATGCAGTTTCCATCTTTCATTTAGGTTTTGGCGACTTGCTTGGATCCAACATTGAAGAACTCGATGATGACTTCAAGGGGCATGCCTTTTGTTTCAGGAATCTTGAGGAAGACAAATACCAATGCTATGACACAGACGATAGCATAGATCCCAAACACCCCAGCAAGACCAATAGTGTTCAGCATCACGGGAAGGCTGTAGGTAACAATGATATCGCAAAACCAGAAGGTGAGGGAGCATATCGCTATGCACACACCACGTACACGAGTTGGAAAAATCTCAGAGCAAAGGATGTTGGGAATAGGACCAAAGCCCATGACAAAGCAACAGAAGTAAACCACAACACATATGGTTGAGAAGATGGCATGAGCAACAGAGCCGAGGTCCACAAGGTTTGTCAGGACCAGACCAACAAGTGATACGATCAAAACAGGAATTGTAGCCAACAAAAGACTCCTGCATTAAAAAGGAGAAAAAAGTAAACATCGGTTTTGCTTCCTTATAATAAAATGTTATATAACAGCCCACAAATTGTATGAGAATTTAAACGCAGATGAAAACAACATAACCTTTTTTAAAACAAAAAACATTGTGCTTCCCATTCCGTTGAAATGATACATTAGAAAAATGCAGAATGCAAAGACTTGACAAGGTCACAAAGAACATGCATGCGAAGATGGACATAAATGTATCATAGCCATGGAGATAAAATAAGACTGATAATGTAAGACTTTACCTTCTTCCAGAGACATCCATGAGCCTCATAGCAACAGCTATGCAAGGGAGCATCAACAGAGTCGTAAGAGCACTTATAAGTATTGATGCTGAATCAGAACCAATTCCGAGATTTGCAAGAAGAACTTCAACACCAGCTTGCTCAAGAATTTGCGGAGTGTAATAAAGAACCCCATTAATGCCAGCAAACTGAACAAGAACCAAGTTTTCAGATAAAAGTGAGACACTAGGAAGAAAATAATTAATTCTGGGAATTGAATACATGTAACAGTCAACGTTTCGTCAAGAAAAATAAAACTAGTGTTATAGATTGATTCAATATTAGCTTTCAAACCCTTTAAAAGTTGACACATATACCTAGACATGAAGATCATACAGGGAATTTAAATCTATCAACTTAATGACAAAGTTTACACCCCAAAGAATCATATCATATTTGTCATTATTGTGAATATATTGTCTACATAGCTTTTATATTTTTTTGTTAAAATTATAATTTTTCCCGAAAAGTCAGCCTTGATAACTAGTGCAACAAGCACACCCAAGTATCATTAAATCATCCTCCAGCTGGCAGGTAGCATAGGAGGTGAAACATGAAAGGTATTTTCAAATAAAATTAGAGCAGCCTAATGCATGATGCTCCTGTATCGTGAGATCTGAATATGGCCAATATATACAACTTTCCCATTGTGAGCAAATAAATTGTTTCAATGACTCATATTCTGGTCACCCACCTTGCAGAGAGAAACTTTATAATCGAACCATGACTCCTTTTCTAATGTAATTTTTTTAAGTCAAAAGTCAATAATTTACTATTTGTGAACCATGAATCCCATGCAAAACTAGGACAGGGATGTTATAACTACTTTATGTATTTGAATATAAGTATTAAGGAATTCATGGATATCTTTGGCCTAAACCAGATGATCCAGTCAGATATGACTTTTTAATAGAGACTCAACCAGGAAACAATACTCTAGAAGTTAGCTCTAAGTTGTTCTAGACCAAAGAAACTTCACACTTTGATGCCATTTCAAATTACAATTAGGAATCAACATAACATCGTACCCTTAAAACCAAACAATAACATGCCTCCAACCATGTAATATACCAAGAGAAATATAAAAAACTCAAAATCCTAAAGTTTACTGCAAACAACTTAATATGGATCATCCTACTTGATGCTATGAACAATGAAGTCTTCTCTTTTTCTATAACTGTACTTGTTAACCATTGCAGTCTTTTCTAAAACCAATGATGATCTAGAAGGAATATCTGATTTTAATGGAATGCAGAGGAAGATTATTTTTACTGGAAATTTCAGAGTTTTCATCTACAAAAGGTATTTTCCATTAATATCTTAGATGATATAACAAGGTGGATGGGAACTTCTCTATAACGTATTATATTGCATGAAAGCTACAATTTTAAAGAATCGATCTGTTCCTTCAGTGAACTGTAGTTTACGATAACATCTCATTACCTGCTGAAGAATTTGTATCCCAATGCCAACAAATAATGCATGCCTGACTCCTGCTTCAAAAAGAACTCTCCACATTGGCCCTTCAGCAGCAATCTTGGATGGATGAACCATTGCTGGCCCAGCTGGATCCTGGCTCATGACTTCCTTCGAAAACAGAGCAGGTTGGCTTACTAATGCTGCAGCTTGAACATATTCACCTTCTTCTGGGATGTTGCCTCCAGGAATTGAGACAAGGGAAGCTTGTTGTGACCCAACAACACCTTCTTGGCGCAAATAAATCCTCTTGAAACCTCCTTCTTTTGTTCCGTCTACAGCCTCTCTGTTAGTCCACTTCCAGGCTAACTGCCAACCACCTCCTATGCCCATACTACTCACTGCCTCACCAACATTTTCCTGCATAAGACTGCTGTTATGTATCATGTCATTCCCATCCATGCCTGTTCCATGGCGAGAGAGCAATGGAGTGTGCAAATTATCATCGGAATCACCTCCTGCACCATCAGAGACATAATCCACACCATCCTGATGACCAATTTCCTCATCCCATTGCTCAGCTTTTGGATGATTCTCCACCACACTAAACATGCTACCGAAATTGGGGAACAAAATACTTCTCATGCTTCCCATTTCGGGTAGCTTTCCATGGACACTTCCAAAAAGAGTAACTAGAGGATCCATAAGAGGGATGCTCTGATTTACAATGCTTCCCTGGCGTGATATGAGACCAAATGCACTTCCAAGAAGACTTGGTCCTGTAACTGGCTGTGCAACCCATGAGAGGCCTTGTTGTGGACCATACAACATGATCTTGTCCTTTTCAGCAGTTGAATCCTGTTCATCAGGGAGCTCATTTGCAGGGCCAATTATATACTCTTCAATGGTTGTATCTGTACTTACTCTTAAACCTTCAACAAGAAGAGCCATTTCTCCTGAAATAAAGAAAATTAGCACATGTCTTACATGTTAAATTGCAACTAGGAAAAGGAGAAGCTAGGCAAATTAACTATGAAACCCATTGAAGCTGATATATAGTTACTTCATAAAAAGGAATATAGTTACTGAAATCATTCAAATCCCCTTAAATTTGATCCAAACTCCCCATCCTAATTCATGATACTTGTGCTTCATGGATCGCTATAGTACACGATATTGATCATGGCCCCTTAAACTTGTTCCAAACTCCCCATCATAAATCATGATACTTGTGCATCATGCATCTCTACAGTGCACAATTTGGACCATCAAAAATTGAGGAAACAAAATCACAAGATGAGAAAATCACCATTGATGTCTCAAGTTTCATGTCCTTTACCGTTATTGTTTTTGATCCATGTATCTTAACCAATTGTTTTACATTGTACCTGCACTTGTATCACAATTCAGAACATTCCATGTTCCAGATAGCATGAACAGGAGTGAAGATAAGGTTCTTACACATTTAACAGTCTATTGACATTATTTAATAGGAAAAAGATAATTGAACTAGGGGATGCAACAAGGGAAGCAACGTGGATGAGATACCACTGAAAGCTGCGGAGGGTGGTAAGAGGTCAGTGATTGAGGTCCATTAGGGACAAGGACCATATAAAATATGAATGACAGATCACCCAAGAGCGTAAGGCTGATTTTGCTGGTATGTATTCTAGTGCATTAGGTGATGTTGCATGAGAATTATATGAGATAAGAGAGCTAGAGATATAAATGAGAATCCATAAAGCATATTGCAGCATACAAATGACAGCGGTCATCTATTACTTTGTTTGAAGTCTCTGTTCTTCTCTAAGGGCTTTTTGTTGGTTTCAACCAAGGTTCACCGTACCGCTCAGTATAGGTGGCATGTACTGGTTCGATAGAGAACTGGTATGGGTGGTACATTGATACACCCCTATGTACCATGTGTTGGTATAATCGGTACGGCTTGATACAGCTCGATATGTACCGTACTGATAGCTGGTTGGTATACCGATATGGACCAATAAGACGAACCATGGTTCCAATAAAGATAATGAGATTGCTACCCAGACCAGTAGCTCAAGAAGACATACCAGACATGATTGCTACTAAAGAGTGATCAGGTCATAAATTTAATATAGAAGATTTTCTCATAATTATTTTAGAGTTAGTTATCAGAAGCACCATTCGTGGCAAGGTTCCCGATCAAGGGGACAGTATGAGATAAATGCATGAGGAAATAATTTAAATGATGACCAACCCTGAAATTAGATGATGAAAAGGGCTACTTCATAGACTCAGAAATAGAAGTTCTCTTTGCTGGGCTGCAGCCCATACAAAGCACATTCAAAAACAAGCAACTTGCAAATGCATAACCTAGCAATAACACAGACATGATCAAAAAGTCAAATTCATTTTATCCCGCTGAAACAGCTTACCTTCCTCTGAATCTCATATCAAAGTCGAATTTAATGAAGCAAGCAAACAAGGGAGTCCACTAAGATACAAACAAGTTCATTAACAAGAAAAATCTCTGAGGACCTGACATTGATATTAATATCTTGCTCGAGATGCTAATCCTTTTGCTTACAGCATACATTAGCCAAGACAAAGATACAAATAATTGCTAACTACTGTTCCACTGATTTTCTACTAACCAAATTGCATGAACACGTTGATTAAGAAACCTACTAATGCAAGCAAACTAGATCATCAAAGACCAAATACACATCATTAAACAGATGAACTCTTTTTAAGTAATGGAACTACAGAAATGCTATCTTAGAGAAAAGACTTCAGATAAATAAGCTTATGAAAAGATAGTAGCAAAAAATTTATTAGAGTAACTTCAGAATTCAGGATGTTTATCTTCACAATGTGTAGTATAAGGTGTGTAGTTTGAGATAATAAAAAGGAGACCATCATACATATTTCTGTTTTAGCAAAAATTAAAAAAAAGGGAGACCATCATTAGTTGAGCAGTGTCCCCCAGCATAAAATCTTATACATGGAGGCGCAGCAGTAGTATAAAATGTTTGTACATGGAAATTGAGCAGTAGCGAAGAGCAGAAATTACAACCATAAACTCTATGTGGTTGCTCATCAAAATTTGTTTTGAAAGCATACTATCTTAAAACAAACCTGAGACATCTTCTCTTCCACGTAACCTCTGTAAAACTTGTTTGGCCTCCTTCATTCGCCCTTTGCTAACAAGCCATCTCGGTGATTCAGGCAGGAAGAATACAGTCAGCACAAAATATAAAAGAGAAGGAACAGAGAGAACTCCAAGCATCAATCGCCAGTCAGGTCGGATATTTAATGACATTGCAAAAACCATGCAATATGAAAGAAACATTCCTCCAGAGCCCGTGAACTGTGGAAGAGTATTTAACAAACCCCTTATCTCAGATGGGGCCGTCTCAGATATGTACACTGGAACTAGTGTGACTGCCAAACCAATTCCAAATCCATCTATAAGCCTTGCCAAGAGCAGCATATATACATTTGGAGACCAAAACATTATCAGACCACTAATAAAGTAGAGCACCGATGAGATAATTAACATGGGCCGTCTACCAATCCAATCTGACACTGCTCCTGAGAATGTTGTAATGACAGTGGCACCAATAAGTGACATGGCCACAATTAGTCCCTCAATAGTAGGCTGGCCCTCCAACTTAAATTCCCTCTTTATGTAAAGAACAGCACCTGTACAAAATGGAAGCATGTAAACAAGTGAAATCATACTCGTGGTCGTTAACAAGATTAAAGAAAACTGAAGGAGCAAAAATACAGAAAAGGTGCTAGCGTGTTAGATGAGATGCATCGTCGATCATCTTTGCTAAAATAAATCTTTGATATCTACATGCAGAACCCAGTATCATACTTTCAGCTTTTCAGTCCTAAATATTCACCTAACAAGTTTTTAAAAAAGCACTGAAAGTGATTTACCTGCTATGGTAGCATTATCCCATCCCTGTAACATATTGCCAATTGCAGCAGCAATGGCGACCAAAACAGCTCCCTGCATTTTCTCCCTATGATGCACTTACACTTCACTGTATATAGACCTGCAGCCTAACATCAAATGACCATTCAAAACAAGCAATAATATAAATCGATCAGGGTAAAGAGATTTACCACAATGATGCAAGGCTATAGGCAAATCAAATTAAGCTTTCAACTCAAAACAAGCTCTGAACAGAAGGAACTCATGTTGAGTTTCAACAAGCATTAGATTATAACAAAGAAGACCTAATCCATAATTCAGCATTGAGTGTACCATATTTCAGCAGAAGCATACCACTTATTCACTTAATCATGTTTTCTTGGAAAATCCAGAAATACAATGAAGTTAGGGGACAACTGAACCAAACATGTTACACATGGTGATCGAAAGAAGAAGAATCAACCATGAGAAGCCCCAAAAAACCACTCTAGATCAAGAGCAGATCTGCCTCGTGGATTTCACAGAAAGCTCCTAAAGTATTTGTTGTCGGACAGGGAGTCAATCTTGGCAGAAAAATGACAAATATATTTTTGATAAAAGACCAATTTGCTGACAAAAAGGAAAAGAAAAAAAATCGAGGAAAATAGCAAGCAGGGCATTGCCTACATTTCCTCGTTACCCTACACCCCGAAGATCGCAGCTTTATGACGAGTTCCGCTGAGAAACGAGCCAAGATCTCAACTTTCTCCAGCAACTTATCAAATATTCTTCGAATACGAAGATATACTAATAAAAGATCGCAACAGAAAACGTCTAAAACATACCAATGCCGCGGAGAAGTTTCGACCTCAATGACAAACCACAATGGGTGTTTTCGACCTACGGATCGGCTACAAAGTTCCCGGCGTCTCTACCTCTCCTCCTCTCTGGGATCCTAAGAAAGAACTCCATACTCAAGAAATAAGCAGTACAAAAGACACCAGAACAAACCTAGAAGAGAAAAGAATGCTTACAGTTAACGGTGAAGCATGACAGTCATTGTCAAATCTGTCTATGCTCCAAAAGATGCCTTTGTTATGATGGATTCCCACTCATCATCAAAAGTACACCGTTTTTTTCTTATTTCATTGATCAAACCAACGTGATCGGAATGACCGCGAAAGGAAGAGAGAGAGAGAGAGAGAGAAAGGAGGAGGAGGCGGGCGGGGTTGAATCGAGACCCCGGAGATGATTGTGCCCTGGGGAGCTCTTCCCTTCTCGTCCATTATATAGATAGGCATTCTAAGACTAATAAGCTTCTTTATATTCCTAAAAAATGTTATATTAAATATGATTTGAGTGACGACTAATAAACAAATTATTAAATGAAAATATGAAGAATTAAAATACTATTTATATTTAATAATTTTGTAAAAAAAATAATTATAAAAAATCTATCCACCCATTTAAACCAATTTAATTGTTCTAAATTAAGATACTGAAATCAATATTATTTAGATTAAATTTATTCTTATTGTTCAAATTCATCATGCTCAGCACCAATATTTGAATAAAGACAGACTGCGCGTGGTGCTGATACTGAAATATCCAATACCAATACCAATAATAAAGGACAAATCTGATGTGGTGCTTATTTGGTTGTTCCTAATTATCAATATCATGTTTAGATGTCCCACCTACATGCATTAAGAAACAAAACAAAGTTGGAGTCTAACATTTTTATTATTATTTAATATAAAAAAATTATTCAAACAATAAATAAATAAAAACATTGTCCATATAGGCCTTACGTGTACTTCCCGTGATTTATGATGCGGTTGATTGATACGGCACGTAGATTATGTACTTCTATATTCTCCTCGCATGATAAATCTGCACAAGTGTCGAACAAGTTATGTTTGAAATATATCTAATTTATATACAATGTAAATTTTTAGATTAATTAGTGTATTATTATTGTACAAAGTGATTGATGTGTCTCTTGAACATCATATATATCATTTAATATAATAATATTATATATATGTATATATAAATTATAATGTGCTTTACAACAATATGTATGTAATCCAAGATAAGACCAAAGTGTACATATGTCAAGCATATTATCTCGACAATAATTTATACCATAGAATTCCTTAGCCAAAAAAAAAAAACATAAAATATTGGGAAAGATAAACTTTGTGGTGAAGCATATCTTGTTTTTAATTGCATCTACTGGATAACGAATAACATCATCTACTTCACAAGTTTCCATCAAAAACCCTATCAAAGTCCACTTCTTCTTCTTCTTCTTCTTCATGAACACCTTTTGACATCCCCAAATATGAGAGGGTGGATCATGAGGAGAGACTTGTGTATTTATTTCCTGTAGTCTTTACATCATTACTGAACCACAACATGCATAGATGCCAAAAATGTGATCCATAAAGGCTCTGTCAAGGAGAACGAGCTCGACTTAGTGGCCCCCCATGTAGTTGTCACCATGCTTCCTTTCCACCTGCATCATGCTCTTCCATCAAGGAGTTTTGAGAGTTACAAGTTCCAGACAAGATAGATCTGACTATATGATTCTTCAGGTCGAGTTTGATCTCGCTGTTGATGCACTGGAGGATCTTATTTTGTTTAGATAGGTTTCAGCTGAGACAGTAGCTTAATCTAGTCAAAGTTCTGCTTTGGTTTGGGTTGGATGAGAAGGATAAGAAGCTTGAGGTGATGCAGTTATCAGAAGGTTTCGTTTACCTTTTGGCAAACCCTAAAAAGTGCTCTTCCTTTGACAACTTGAGAAGCCAGAAAACTTTTGGAACCATAAGAAACCTGCTGTAGCCCACTGTATTATTCATATTTTTGATGCAAAAAGTCAACTTTTTTTTTTGTATAACTTGTTAAGTAAGACACTTTTTGGGAGCACATTATTTTAGATATTTTTGACAAAAAAAATGCAAATTTCTTCTTGGATAACAGTTTTTTATTTTTTTGTTCTTGATAATCTTTGAGGAAGTCAGACATGTAGAAAATTAGTGGTTTGATATTATTTACATGATTCTAACGTGAGAAATCTAAATTCCAACTAGGATTACAGTAAGCTTGATTTGTTGTGGGAATTCCAGTGATCTAAGAAGCCAACAGCTGCAAGAACAAGTCAGGCCACAGATGGATGATGTTAAATTCCAATCGAGATCACTTTCTTGTTTACCTTTTCTCCCTTCTTTTTTTAATGTTAAAGGAAAATAATTGAGATCAAATATTTCTTTAATATGATATTAATTACATTAATTGAAGCATATCCACATCAAAAAAATCTTTAATTGATAAAGATTAATGAGTATTCTGAAGGGGAAAAAAAAACCTTAAGATTTTAATAAAATGTAGCGGAACTCAAAAATTAACAATAATGAATAAATCTTGAAATCAAGATAGAGGTGCAGCTTTTTTGTGTTCTGCAAACTCTTCATGGTCATCATTCTATAATGATCTCATGCTAAATCTAGCTCGTGTTTTCAAGACATCAGAAACCAGTTCTTGCACTCCACTGTCTTTAAGTGCACAGAAAGGAAGAGAAAAGGGAAAGCAAGAAAGACTGACTCAAGCATCCTTTTGTTCTCCCTTAAAGAACTGCTTTTAATGTGTGTCAGTGACATTATCGATCACTCCATCTCAATTTACTCTTATTTCTTTTTCGATTCTTATTTCACGTGGCATGATCACAAATCTCCTCCAGGAAATATTTTACTCGGTCTTGAACGATCACGTTGGATGCTACTGCAAGGGGTTCTTCCCGAACTCCAAAATGGCTTCGATCGTGGAACAAGGAACATGGCTGAAACTTAATTTGCTCATACCCAGCAGCAGCAACATGAGCACTTGTTGGGGTACCAGTGATCATCTACGAGACCATGGATCAGATGGAGAGGATCTTTTCTCCTTGTTTCCTTGTGAGATCGATCCACCATGTGTTTGCAGACACAGAATCTCATACACATCACCCAATGTAATCATAGTGTAAACTATTACTGGCCAGGTGGAGACACATCAATCATGGACTTTGTTTTCTGGTTCTACTCCTAAACATTAGTCCTGGAGGTGTGCATGTGTGCTTCATAATGCAGCCGTAGTTGCGAGGAGAAGCTCATCTGTTTGTTTATTGGAGGAGTCAGGCTTCCATGTCTCAACGAGTACCTATCGGAGCCAATCGGGGGAGGTGGGAATCAATAGAAAACTGTTGCATCTTCCCAGATGAAACTGGAAGCTTTCATTACTGCATCTTCCAATCTTTTCACAGCTGACTGACTGATTAGAAAACTGAAACTGCAGAGAGATTACAAATCAACGGCATCGGCCATGAGAACAAGCCCGATCTACATATCCCAAGACCACCTTAATTTCCTGAGCCCAGCCCGGTCCAGTCCAACATTTATTCTTTTCATGTAGTCAAAACACATTATTATTTTGATGTGCATAAGATTATCATATGATCCTTTTGGTTTAATATTAGTTTATGCTGCGATCCTGCAGTGCCATTCCATGCATGCAAAACCAGCTTCAACCACCAAACACTTGAAGGATGAAACCCTTAGAAACGCGGCTTCCGCTTGTCCCCCATGGCTAGCAATACCTCCATCTCCTTGTCGGTACAGAGAAGCAAACACCTGCATGCCCTGTTACGGGGGATTGTAATTTACAGCTTCAAGCATGGCCGATTCCCACCGACCGACCAACCTTCTCTTTTGTCACTTTTGATGGAGGGGGATGAATGTACTTGTTTTGTTTTGTCTTCATCTGTCAAGTCTAGCTTTCTTCCGTTGTTCTTTTCTCAGAAAGAAAAGGTGGAAAAGATCTCCTTCGCACACGGTTTCTATTTCCTGTCAGAGAAGAAAGTCCATAAAATTGATTCTTTGATGTTTATTCATCGTCTTCAAATATATATCAACTCTTACTCATGTGCAATTAATTTATATGTTATTATCAGAATTATTTGCAGTAAAATGTTTGATGTTTCTTGCTCATTTGAAGGAAAACACGTAAAAGAAAAACTATATTCTGACAAGGAAAATCCTACGTACGTACGTACACAGATTTCTTCATTTTGTTCATCCACCTGGCGACCTGCCTCGAAGACAGCCAATGCTCTATATAGAAGCCTTCGTCTTGTTGCCAGCAAGCTCCATAAGAGATCGAACTTGAATCCTGGTGAGGAAACCGAAGAAGAACGTCTGCTTCCCCAATGTCCTTCTCCAAGAATGGAGACTGGACCTTCTTGGAGAACAATACGTTTGAGAATGCACTTGCAGAGCTCAACCTCGATGGCCCCGACTGGCTCGAACAGCTAACAGAGATTCTCCCTTCAAAGACCATCGACCAGGTGAGGGACCATTACATTGATCTTGTGATGGATATCGACTTGATAGAATCTGGACGCTACATGGAGCATCAGTACACAGACTCTGAGAAGAACAAGATGGATGGAGACCTAGAGTTTCCCTTGCCTGCAGTGCATGGATCAGGAACGTCCTCGTCTGAGGCCATGGATCAAACAGCTGGAGTAGTGTTCTCGGGATATGTGGAGAATATGATGGCTCTCGACACTGACTCTGAGAAACAACATTTAGAGAGGTTGGTGCCGGGAGGGACGAGAAGGCTACTTAGGGTTGCAGAACCTGCATCCAGGAAGGGGGTGAATTGGACCGAGGAGGAGCACAGGTTTGCTGCTTCTTAATCTGTTCGATTGGATTCAGCCCTAATTAACTTGAGATGCATTCTTTGCTGCATGAATCCAAGTTCTCGAGCAAAGTGCATGCATTCTAGTGGATGAACTATTAAATGGGATTTTTTTTGATAGATACGAGTGGATTTCTTTTTGAATTCTTTGTATCACAATGGAAAAAATATATATTTTCTTGTTAGTCATATATAATATGATTTCTTTTTCTTTCTTTTGTAAAGAGGAAATTTACCATCTACATGTTCATTATATGTTTCAAATTTCTATCCCTCGTATATGAGTCTTTGGATGTATGTTAATGCTGAAATTTGACTCTCAAATCCTGTTTATTCTCACAAATCGATTCTTTAGATAGCATCTTAGGTGGGTATTAATTAAAAGCACTTCGCTGTAATCACCAATTGCTACGGTAAAAGATCTTCTATTTATCTATCTGCAAAGATTTCACTGCTATCTTTCTTCCCAAAGAGAAGCCATACAGTGTTCGGTTCTGCTATTGCACAGGCTGTTCCTCATGGG